GACATAAAATAACTTTAAAAAATTAAATTCATTTGAAAAATCTATGGGCAAAATAAAATATTTTTTAAAAAAATCTACCTCAGATTAGTTCTTAATAATACATAATTACACATAAGGAACAAATAGGGCTTATAAAATCTTAATTATACCTTATTAAATATGTAATCTTAATATTAGATATATATGAATTATAAGTTGTATATGGGAATATAGTCTAATATTTTATAATTAATGATCATAAACAAAAATAATAATTTGTTATTAACTATCCATTAAAAAATTACATATGCACCTTCAATAAGGTTCAATACAACAAACGTTATTTTATTTATTTTAGAACCATGAGGCTGTATGGTTGGAATTTTCCAAATATAACCTAACATCAATTTTCGGTTTGTATATGAGGTTTTACTCGTTTACACTAATAATTAATTAAAAAAAATAAACTAAGTAAATAAACCTATTCGTATATATACCCGACGATAAAAAATCCTATGAACTATTCCAAGAAAAATCAAACAGGTTTATTTAAATATAAACCAAAATAAAATTCCCTGAACCTATTTTTAACCGAGCCTGATAGGACAACGTGGCGCCCAAGCAGTCGTAAGACCAGATAAGATCAGCAATTTCAACCATTACACAAAGCTCCAAATTTTCTACTACCCAAAAAAAATTGGCAGAGGAGGGACACTAACACATGCCCTCAATATTCATCAAAATACTAGCAAATATAATGAAATATGTATAAATAATGTGTCGGGAAATGTGAGTACATAAGAATATGCCTTGTATGCCTCCTCGTAGCTAAGAATATATATATATATATATATATATATATAAATCGTTTTGTAAATCGATAGTAAAATTATCAAGGGAAACCACCTAAATTATTATCACATAACAATTTTTTTTATTAAGTAATAAATATAACATTTTGTCAATTGGAAAATAGTTATAGTGAGTTAAGACCACATTCAAACTATATATACACATAAAAATATAAAATAAACAGAAAAAAATAACGCATAAAAAATAGATTATTTTGTTTATTACATTATTATCTTAGCAGTAAGTTTTTTTTTATAAAACGTAAAATCTTCTTACATGTTTCAGTCATTATTAAGTATATTTTTATTTTATTCATTTTTTTTTTATTTAGATCAATATTATTTATAATTTTTTAATTATTCATTTAATATTGATTTACTTACTTTTTTTTCTGTTTAAGTTATTTAACCGATTTTTTTATTTCCAGTTCCTAAAAATAGGATTATGATTTCGTTATTGAAAATATTAATAAAATGTTACTTTTTTTATAAGCAATATATAAATATTTAATAGTTGCTATTAAAAATCTAAGACTTCAAATTCAATGTTAATCCTCTTCCACATGTTTTAAAGATTAAAAAATGCAAGACCCGTAATATCGGAATTTTTATTGATATTTCGATAATTGAAAAAATATCGATATTAGATATATCAATATATTTTATAGTACACATTAATTATTTACTTAATTTTACAAAGCCAAATTCTAGAATAATTTAATAGATAAATTCTAGAATCACTAAGTAATAAATATTTTCTTTTATATTTGGTTTTAGTAATTTCAAAGAACTAACAAAAACACAAACCAAGGCAATGTTTTTTTTTCACCTTTTTAAAAAAGTTAAAAAAATTAAAACAAATAATATGCATTACTGATTGGTTGTACATTAATCGACTAATATATATATGTATTGATATAAATATATTGTAGATTAAGAACAATTTTTATACAGGAAAATTTAATTTTCCATGTTTCAGATACATATATAAAAATGTTGAACAAATAGTGCTTTAAAGTTAGTAATGTTAGAGCCTCAGGTAGGCGACATGATGAATATTCAGAACAGGTAGGTAGACCGGCAGTAGAATAATAAAGAGGATATTTTTGGAAATTAAAAAAATGAACAGGCTTTTGGGATTTTGAGAAAATGGATGGACAGTCTAATTATCTACGTTGCCTCGTGTAGAGGATTTATCCGTTACTCTCCCATCGGGAAAATGGAGGATAGAGCTTTATATTAATAGGCTACGCGGTTTTGATAGATTACTATATCTTATATTCATTTTATTTTTTTCTCTATTGGAGAATAGCAAAAGTGTGGTAAGACCACACATATATATATAGATACATATATACATATATACACACGCTACACAAACAAGAAAATATAATATAAAAAAAAGTAAAATAAGGACTAAACAATAATCAAAAAGTATATACAATAAATACAAATAAAATAACTTAAAGATAAGCAAATTAAAAAAAAAAACGATACACTAATTATATATATATATATATAAAATTCATGAATTGATATATTATAGTAGGTGTTGAAATATCTTTAATATTTAAAAAATTATATTATGAAACGTGCTTCGTGAACAAAACAATGAATGATTGTTAAAAAATATCTAGATTATAATTAAAATTTTAAATAACATAAATATGATTTTTTTTTTTAACTGAGACTAATTTTTTTTTTACAAACCGTCCATCATTGTTAATCACATCCATTTTTTTTTTTTTTTTTTACATTTTCCAGGTAATGAACCTATTAAAATGATCATAGGAATGCATCGCCTCGAAAATTTATCAATTCTTAAGTTACTTAGCACGAGAAAATAACCAATAATAATAATAAATAACCAAAATTAATACGTTGGAGGTCAGTAAAACACTCATCAACATTTAAATATCGAACACATATTATTTATACCCTTGAATCTTTTACAATTAAAAAACGATGTTTATTCGGATAAAAATAAAGTAAATAAAACTAGTTGCATTTAATAAACATAATCAATACACTGAATGAATAAGCAAGATTAAATCAAATAAATACAATTTAAATTAGTACTTTGCATATAAAAAAAAGTAACATGATAGTATATATACATATGGCTGTAATAAAAATTTAGGTTTCGAATTATAAAAAAAAATATTACTTAAAAAAATATCAACAACGTTAATAAGTACGTTTCTTTTTAAAATAAAATCCTCCTAAAGGATGGGTTAATGAAGAAGGTTCAAGCAGTTTTTTTTTTTATAAATTATTTTGACATATTATTATTTATAATTATATTAAGGGATATAAAGCCCTTAATATAATGATACATAAAATAACTGTATTAAAAAAAAAAAAAGACTACGTTAATGAGGCTGTTTCTCTTATCGTGGAAATAAGTCCATCATTAATAAAATAAAGGATAAATGAAGAAGGAAGGTTAATTCCATAGTCAGTTATTTTTTTTTTAATTAAATAATTGTTTTAATATATTATGATTTATAATATATTGAGGGATAGGAAACCCTTAATGTAATACATAAAATAATTTTATTTAAAAAAATAATTAAAAACAGACTACAAAAAATCCTTTTAAGTTAAAACAATTTAATGCAATAGAAACATTTTGATACTGAAATAATATATTTGCAAAATTAGTCCAAGAACCTGAAAGAATTAACAAATAATAAAATATTTTTAAGAACTTAAAAAAAATTTAGCATAATATCTCATCCTAATCTCTTAAGTTGTTAGGATATACTTCTTTACCCCAAATCCTACAATACTAGAGACACAATTTCGATGAAAGACAAAGATTATTCTTTTACACATCTGTGATGGACGGTGCAACTTATATAAATTATATAAAGAATGGAGGGATAGAGTAAGAACGATTTTGGCTAATAATTGGATTTGATAGTGAATAATTTTATATGATAGCAGAAATTCTACTCAACCGAATGCAAATAATAATTTATAACGTTCGTGTGACAGGCAACCGTCAGTAACTGTCAGTAACTGGAACAGGTAAGGCTCCAAATTATTTACGGGAAAATATTATAAAATTCAAGATTTTTATATCAAACTTTCCTCCACAAGTTGGGAGAGATGATTGGTTCAGAGTTATCCCAGCTGATTGTAAATAGTGTATATATGTATGCCTGCGTCTAAGATGTTTATATTACTTTAGGTACATTTTGTTTTAATTTATACTTATTTATATGTTTTTCTCTCTCATTAAATTTTATTCTGTTCCAATTTAGATATATTATTTTTAATTACTTTATTTATTTGTATTTCTGGAAATGTGGTCTAAATGTGTTCCCTGAACTCTATTATAAGTGTCCTTAACTGAGACAGATTTTAATATTTCCTAATAGACTAGTAAAAAAAATAAATATATTTTTTCAGTTTTGGGAGGAATAAAAAAACTTCTTAAATAAATACAACTATTTTGGCCAAAAAAAAAAATACTCAATACGCAACGCAAGAACTGGTACACGCAATAGCAAACTTGAACTAATAAAAATTATCATTCATTAATATCAATAGAGGAGGCTGATCAATATCATAAGCTCTTTATCTTGAATTTTGATTATCATTTATATAGTATCCGTTGTCAATTTTAAGAACAAAAAAGTTCTTTAAAAACTTACTGCATTCCGTTTTTCTGGTTCATAAAACTACTAACAAATAATAAATAAACCAAATTTCAGATTCACTCAAACTTTACCTAAGAACAAATTAAAAGATTTTTTAAAAATATATTTACAATGCATTTTTTACTTGAATGCATTTACCGGAATTCTATATCTTCGGATTTTATTTTATTTTTTCAGATATTAAACAAATAACAAACTAACATCATAATGAAAGCAATCAAACCAAAAATGAAGAACAATTTAGTACTACGATTTTCACTATTTTGTACATGTACACACTAATAATATACAGAAATATTAAGCTTAATATCTTGGATAAAATATGATACAAAACAAAAGGAGTGGTGTTTTTTTTAAGAAGTATATATTGCATCGCTTCAATTTCAATATGCATCACAAGGACCTGAGGTAAAAATGATGAATATGCTACCATGATACCAGCAATGCACATTTACATATATGCATGACCTTTCGGAGAATATAATGCATGCTCAGGTATGAATCACAATGGAAGAAACAATAGACACAGGAAGGTACTCACGTTTTCGTGTTTGAAGAAGAGGAGCATCTTGAGTTCCCTGAACACCCTCTTCGACGAAACTAGGGACTGGAAAACGTTGGGTAATTTCTTCAGGGCTACCCTCCTACCATCCCTTGGATCCGTCACAGCCCTGTAAAAAAAAAAATAGTATTAACAAATCAGTTTTTAAAAAAGTAAATATATAATATTACAATATTTTAAAAATAAATCATAGCGCAATATTATATATAATAATGGCTAACAGTCACAATGATACATCTGGATATTGATAAAAATGATTGAATAAATAAACAATTTTATATTACATCGCAATGATTGATTGGAATCAATAAACATAATAGAAATATGTTCGTACGTTATGTTATGTTATATGCTTTTTTCTCAAGTTCCAATTCTTAGTGTGGGGTTGTATGGCGGCTTCTAGATATATAGAGGAAATATTCGCATGGTTTGATGAACAAACATGTTTACAAAGACGTTTTGGGAAGAAGCTTAAAAGAAATCGCGGAAAATCTGGGGCTAAAAAAGAATTCATCCGGAAATTGGTCGACTCCATTGAATTGACTATTTCTACACTTTCTGAAAACGAATTATAAATAAATAACGAAATATAAATTCACCAGGACCTTTACTCTCAGGTAATTAAGATTACCTGAATATGATTAAGATAACAGCAAATAATAAAATTGTCAAAATAAAACTAAAGTGCAACATGCACAACTCCGGATATCGTAAGTATAATTTTATATTGAGACAATAGAAATAATAAAATAATAGACCTTCACTAAAACTGTTTGTAAGTGTATTTATTAAACGATTCTCTTAAATTTTTAAGAACGTTGTTTGAAAGTAAGTATACTAAAATAACATAATGAAGGAAGCGGTAGAAAATAATAACTTGCTTACAAAATATTGAAGTAAATTATTAGTATTTGAAAGTTCATAAGAAGCAAGGTATATCATTTTGACTGCGAGGTAAAATTATCTAGGTTTTTCTTATTAATTTTTTTAAGTAATCACAGTTGAATATTTAAGTTGTATTGACTTCTGTACATATTTAAATTTAAATTATAAATAAATATGTAAACGATTTTCTGGTTTTATTAGTTCACTCTAACCATTTAAGTATTTTTTCTATATTTCTACCGGGTGCATCAATTGCAATGTGAGCCACTTATTAGTAATACTTTAATAGCAATAATATATTTAAACTTAATTATATTTTAATATTAATAGCATATATTATCAGCAGTATCATAAGAAACCGATTTGAAGTAACAACGTAATAGACTCTGATGGAGCAGAATCCATCGCAATAGTTGCCACAATATTTGCTGATGGACATTGAGCATAACATGACAAGCACGTACCTATGTACATAAGGTGTCGACCTCTCCCCTCCCCCCATCACCTCCAACCAGTAATGCATAATAACATAAGATAGACAACTTCGCTTCAGCATACTCCCTCCATCGTCAACACTTGGTCATCATTTGATTTATTTTTTTTTTTTATATGTTTTTTATCACAAATATAAGAAACAAGAAGTCAGACTTTCAAAACTTCAGAGGCAATAGCGTCAATTTGCTGATAAAATTTCACATTGCGTCACTTATAAAAAAAATAATCACATCTACATTTCCGCTTCTGTCCTGAATTATATCAATAACATTTAAAAAAGTTTTGCTTTCGGGGTCTAAATTGTTGAGAAAAATCAGAGACAATAGAGGCCATTGAACTTGGGGTTCGTGAAACAAGGTGTTATTAATGCTCCTTAACACGTCGTCGGAAATGAGAGCTAAACGAGTTTAACATGCCTCTCTTAAATGAATATATCAGTCAAAACACTCTTCCTCCTCTATTCAAGACCAAATCATTGTATTAAAATTCAATTACAAATTAAGAATTTAATTTATTAGTAGATTTCTGGAGGATAGATAATAAATTACCATAATCAGGGTTAAGTAAAAATAAGATTAAGAAAAACAGTATAAGGAGAAAAAATAAGTTATTAAAAATATAAAAATTATGAGTGTACAGACTCCTTTTTATCAAATTATTATGATCCGGCTGAAACTTCGTAAATAGCTTTACCTCATCGTAACCTACAAATATTTTATTTACATAATTCTCGGAATTGGGGCACTTTCAATCGAGAGATTTCAATCAATAGAGGTCGGAAAATTTTGTTTATTTAATTAGATCCTAAAAACTCGTAAATACTCATTTCTTTCCCACTTAGATCGTTAGGTAATTTTAGCGCAAAGTCGAGAAAAAGTATTGAAAAATATTGAGCTCTTCAAAAATATTGAGCCAAGGCGAAACGGTATAATATTTTTGTAGGCCACCTTTTTTATCAATTTAATAGTTTGATAAAAACCACGAGCAATAATATTAAAATAAATCAAATATGTATGTGTAAATAATGGAAATTAAATTAATCAATGAGACATGAAAGAAAATTTACGATAAATGATGTATATTAAGATAAATTAAAAATATATAATTATTGTGTATTGTATAACGATGAGACATAATAATATATGCGAAAGATTACGATATATAGTTCATACTAAAATAAAAAGAACCGTAAAGAGGAAAATTCTTAAGGATTATCACATGTGTTGCAGGTGACAGCACATGAAAATATTTCGAAGGGCGAGTAAACTTGAAGAGGATAATTTTTCAGATGGTTCTGACAAAATCCAAGCTTTTGTCAATCGAAAGTCTTAAATGCTAGCCAGAATCTTAAGTAGGTCGTTTTTTATGAACACAAAAACTAGTGAAATAATTATAATGAATGAAATAAACATAATGAAATTAGGCGCAGAAGGGATTTTTTTCATATTTTAATTATATTATTATTATTAATATAAATTTTTATTTATCTTATTTTCATAAGTTAATAGTTTCTTATATTTGTTATCTGGTCTCTGCATAGCCTTGATGAAGGTCTGAACTTCGGGCCGAAACGTCGGCAAATATAAAAATAAATATCATTTATTTATTTTTTTAATGAAAACTGAACACCCCAACCAACTTCTCTTCGAAATACATTTTAAAATAAGTGGGAAGTATGAAACTTTGAATGTTGGGAAAATTTATATGACTTTAGAACTCTCCGACCACACCTCAAACCCCAGACGACACGAACCATAAAGTACAGTTAGACCACAAATACTTTAGGAATAGACGTATGTAGGAGACAGGACAAGAGTTATACATCAGCGGATTTAGTGGAGTTGCAAAATGGGCCAACCCACAACAAGACTTGCACAAGATGTCTCACGTTGCAAAAGAACGTTACAGAATCGATAAACTATGAATATAACTAAGATAATAATGGCTGTGTAATAATAATATCAGCAAGAATATTTATAATGAATAATTAAGTAAAAAATTAAAAAAAATTAACTATGTTAAATGAAATATTCAAAATTAAGCTTTGTTTAATTCTTCCACCTTAATAATTCCATCTTTTGATTCTGCAGTATTGAACCATATTCATATTATTTAACTCTTCTAGTTTCCTACATACATCAAAATAATTTGACAACAAATAGTCCATCCCTCTTTCTATAATTCTTTGTATGTATGTATCCATCTTTCTACATTAAGCAGGATTTTAAATCGATGATTAAAAAAAAAAATTAGAAAAACAAATTTGATCAATATTTTTACCTGAAATTTTTAAAAATTATTTGATGATTTATATTAAGATAAATTTTTATTTGTAATCGTAAGTAATAAACATCATATCCTGACCATTATTTTTTAATCATTTTTTTACTATTAACAATAATAATAATTCTTGAGTAATACTTTTTTTAAAATCAGAAACACTAATTTTTTGTAATCTCTATGATATATTTCGAGTATGGAGTAGTAAGGTGAAAATATTTTTGAATTATTTAATGAATGAACATCTTTATTTCCGAAATTTATTAGAAATTTCGGCTAACAAAAAAAGTACATATATGTTTGCATATCTAGTGCAGGTGCCGCGTGCACAAATAAAGCTATTTTAGAAATATAATATTAAAAAATGTGTACATTAATAACTTATATATATATACATATTAAAATTTGATTTAATTTGTGTGCAAAAGGTAAATTTTATTGCGTAATCAAAATTTTTTTATCACATTTTAATCATTATTATTAATGTAAAACTATATCACTCAGTGAGTGATCATTATTTATAATCAAATAAATAAACACCAAAGAACTATTTAAATTTCTATTGATAAATCAGGCTCGATTTTAAAATTAAAAATGAAATAAAACAATTATTGCATAATTTTGTGAACAAAATAATTATCGATTTCAAATCCTGATATTAAGCTTAATGTACATGTAAAAGTGTTTAATGCTTGATCCACATGCAGCCAAAATATACTGATATTTATTCAGGAAATTTAATCGTTAGTAACATTAATGTCATTACATTTCAAAATATGCAAAGGCCAACCACCGTTTTTATTTTTGTTTTATCTCTTTATACATTTAGGGAATTTATAAAGATACTAAGAAAATTGATAACTATGCAGGTGATCTAATAAAATACTGTAAGTTGCGATAGCGGTCTATTGAATGAATGATTTAAGATTTTCGACTATATTTAAAATACACTTATCCTTTATCTATTAACTTTTTTGGGTGGGTCTGTATGCATTTCAATCAATTTTTGTTATACTAGAAATAAATTCTTTAAATCTGCAAGACAATGTTGTTGGTTGATGTTAACATTTTAAATGTAAATAAGTATGTATAAAACATAAGCATTTTCATAATAAGTTGTTACATAACAACATATATGTTGATACAGTGTGAATTAAATTTTGTATACAGTGTGAAAAGAGCAAAAGGTCGCTTATCAGTACCCGACAGTATTCTGCGAAATTGATAATTTTTTATGTTGATAATTTTGTGTGGCTGCCCCCGTGGTTTTAAACTTGATAACTTTTTTTTTATTATATATATATATATATATATATATATATATATATATATATATATATATATATTAATACTAAATTTATGATAAACAACCTTAGAATATTCATTTTTTGAGACATTTTTTAATAATTATTATATTTAATCTATATATGATTATGTATTTATCAAAATACTTTTTTGATCTCGCAATCTGTTATTTTACATTTAAAACATTTTACAAACATTTAAAAATTATTATTAAACGTTCCGTCTCCAAAAGCTATTTTCAAAATTTTGTTTATTTTTTAAATTCTAAACTTATTTCACTTTTGGTTATACTTCCTAGGATAAGAAAAAAAAACTATCACATATGAACATGTATAATTGTATATATAATTGTATATATAATGTACACAAATAATGTATATAACATTAAAATTTTTAGAAGTTAGTTTTTGGCCAGATTTGAACTTTACTTTGTATTAACTCATCATTGTTATTCTAAAGGGACTTAGTCCCAGAATAAAGTTTAATTTTCTATTCTATTCTATTCTATAATTATGTAAATTTAATATAGTAGTCATTTTTACTAGTTGTATTAATTTGATAAACGATAGGCGTATCTCAATTATTTTTAAAATTGGAACGTTCATTTACTTTAAGTCCCTTCAACAGTGATGAAATCTTTTAATAATTTATGTAAGATGCCATTTATAAATATATACATTTATATATGCCTTCGTAAATCCTGTTTAAAAACAACAAAAATTTTGTATCTAAATTTTTATCTTTCCTGTTGTTTGTTAAAATTAAAGCTAGATCCAAGTCTTCTGTCTCTCAAAATTCACATACTAAAAATTATAACGCTTTTCTTTTGTTTGGTTTTGAATAACTATTGTGCGCTCTTTAAAAAAAAAAATTACTGATGGTGATAAAATAAATATAGGAGCATTTCAGATGACAGAATGACTAACTCCAATAAATTTTAGAGATATTTCTGGTGGGAAAATGTATACCTTTATTCACAGTTTTTTATTTCAACACTGCAATCACTTACTCTGGAATCAACTTGCTCATTGTTTGCACAGATATTTTTAATTTTCCAACTAGAAATATCAAGTTGGAGTTAGTCATTCTCTCAACTGAAAGGCTCCTATAAGAAAATAATTCTTCAAAATGAGCAGAGATGGAAATACCGATTAATAATATCGATAATAATAAAGTCTAAGCGAACCCGAAGGTTCGATGCAGACACCATCAATAGCTTATTACAACCTTCCCTCTATCCGTCGCCGTCCAAACCCGTTCTCTTCAGATAGGCCTTGACGCAATATTCCCACCTTCGCTTCGGTCTACCCCTCGGACGTTTACTAGTTGGCACAGCAAATATTAACCTTTTAGGAATTCTTTCCTTAAAAGGTTAAAAGACCAACAATCTTACAAGTCTATTTAATTCGCCACGATGTAATCACCTCAATTATATTAATCTGATACAGTTCACGCATTTCGGCGTTGTGTAACCGT